GACTTCCAAGAAAGATAAATCAATCTGTTTGGGAATATTTCTACTTTGAATAAACAAATTGTAAAAAACGAAACCAGCTCCATCCAGCTCTTTTTTCGAGTTAATGCTATAATTATTTCCAACAACAGATGGTAAGCTTGAAAACAAGCTTAACCAGGCTACAGGGCAGATAACTGCATACTGGCTAACCAAGCACACACTCCCTAGGTCTCCAGCTTCAATCTTTGAGAGCCAGCGTCCTGCAACTTTGAGATGCATCCACGCTTCAACACATCTTTCCTAATGTATGATTGTAGTGTCTCCTGAAGGCCAATTTAAAAACTGCGGGAAACTGCTGTGCTTCCCTAGAAATTCCACACCAACATTGCAGAAGCATATCAGCTAAACTGGTTCGCGACCAGGCCCAAGAAACATTTGATGTGTGCGGTTGCAGAAGTATAATCTGCGCTTAAGTATTCATCCAAGCTTTGCAGAGGTAATGGGTTGGAAACCTCTGGACTATCACTGATAACTCAGCAGAAATTATACCATTATTCCTACATATCACACAGATGCTGGAAATGAATGATTATTAATGATGATTATTTTCAACAGATACAGTCAAACACTCAGAAAATACACTGTGCATTTTATACGTCCCTCTTTAGTTTAGTGGAGTAATTTAGCGTGTTTGCTACAGGAAACTATACACATCTAAAATATACGGAAGTTCTCTTTTATTTGAGAGACAAATTGGGGCTCTCAAATAAGGCTCTATCATTTCATGATATTACTTGCTTGAATAGCTCAGCTTGTTATAAGGCTATCAGGTTAGTTTATACAGCTGTATGAAAAAGTTTTGCTTTTCCGTGTTAAATAAATTAGTTTAGATGTTTTTCACAGACTTTTTTCTTGTTCAGGGTACCAAACTGTGAGAATGTGACATTTTGTCTACAATTAATACAAGTTTGAAACAACCTATGATTACATAAACAGGTAAGTAAGGTGATATTTACTTCCTGCAAAGAACAGCTGATGTGACCTGTGATGCATCATCAGTTTGAAATTACCAACTAACCACTCCCTGACTGAGGGATGAACCAGCATCACATTTTTCTGGAAGAGAATTAGGGCCACTGAAAAAACAACAAAAATAGGTTTTAAATTTTTATTTTAGTATGAGAAAAAGTCAGAATTATGACTTCAATCCAAGAATTCTGACTTTTTTCTCAGAATTCTGACTCTGGTCTCTGAATTCTGACTTTAATCTCAGAATTCTGTCTTTTGTCTCCAAATTCTGATTTTAATCTCAAAATTCTGATTTTAATCTCAAAATTCTGATTTTAATCTCAAAATTACTTTTTTAGAATTTTGTCTTCAATCTCAGAATTCTGACTTTTTTCCCTGAATTCTGACTTTTGACTCAGAATTCTGACTTTTGACTCAGAATTCTAACTTTAATCTCAGAATTCTGCATTTAATCTCAAAATTCTGAATTTAATCTCAAAATTAAGACTTTTTTAGAATTCTGACTTCAATCTGAGAATTCTGACTTTTGTCTCTGAATTCTGACTTTGGACTCTGAATTCTGACTTTAATCTCAAAATTCTGACTTTAATCTAAAAACTATGACTTTTTTAGAATTCTGACTTTAATCTCAGAATTCTGACTTCAATCTGAGAATTCTGACTTTTTTCTCTGAATTCTGACTTTAAAGGTACACTATGCAACCAGTGTTGATTTTCCAGTGAGGCTCCCTCCAGAGGGCGAAAGTAAAAGTGCACTGTCGTAAATATGCTCAGCTGTTCTCCTGGTTTCTCCGTCAAGCCAGGCGCGGTTGTTTTGAGCTTAGCAGCGAATGACTAACGCTGCGTTCACACTGGATGTAGCTGGCGCGACAGAAGCAGCGAGTTTACATGCAAAGGTCCCGCGGCGCGTTTTGAGCTGCAGGCGTAGCATGTCTGAGCGGCTGCAGCAGCGCGTCGGGTGAGAGACAGGGAGAGAGACACAGCGCTGATGATCACTGCTCTTAAAACGTTTATTGACGCCTAAATTAACTTAAAATGCAGAAATCTGCCGGCAGAATATGCAGTTTGGATTATTTAGATGAAAAACACCTACCAGCTGCTGCGGTGAACCGCTGCTGATGAAGGGATCCATACTGTCGGCGCATCCCTGGTATGTGGGGGTCTGAGCGGCTCCGACAGAAAAAATATTGAAGGCAGGATAATAATCTGAATGAACTGACTGCACTGATTACGTTTTCATGTGTATTTTCTCACTTAAACACATATTAAAACTACTTTATTCCCACTGATCACAGCAAATATAGCTGCAAGGCAGAGAAAGGATAGTGAAGCTCCGCCCAACGCGCCTCAGACACACTTTTGCAGCCAGAGCAGCAAAGCTGCTTCAGCCGCGCGTCAGTACTAACTGGTACAAGCAGCAAAAATGAAGCAGCAGATGCGATTTTGCTGCTTTTGCTGCGTGAACGTAGCATAACTGCACAAAGATTGCCACTGTGCTAGCAACGAGAATGCTTTTAACTGGGGGGTGTAGCAGTTCTCGCCGTAAAGCAAGACTGACTCTCACGAGACTTCTGAGCCTGTGGGTGCGGGTCGGTGCTCCTGCAGTTGCAAGTGCAGTATTTCCCCCACAGACCACCAGGGCGGCCGAGAATACCTTTGTTCAACCTGAAATGACTCATTTAGTCATCCATAACGTTATGGAACACATTAATTAACTGAAAAATGTTGCATAGTGTCCCTTTAATCTCAGAATTCCTACAGAATTCTGACAGCTAACAGACATAATAGCATCAAGTCATAGCCATGTCTTTTCTAGAGACTAAACTAGATCACCTTTTGCTCTTCCATTAATGTAATAGCATTTAGTCATTTTCCACCAATGTGTCACTGGCCCTCTCAAACAGCTCACATCATTGTCAGTGCAGCTGAGTGCTCCCACATCTTTTCCTTCATGGTGCCCATCTAAATTAAGATCCACAATTCTGGGATTAAAGTCAGAATTGTGACATTTTTCCCCCATATCATACTGAAATAAAATTTAAAAATCAGTTGACTTTTTTTATTTTTTCAGCGGCCCTAATCCTCTTCTGTACATTTTAAACCCAATCAGCCAAAAGCTCCATCTCCAATCTGAGCAGGAACCCTCCCAGGTGGTTTACCTGTGGACGCAGCCATGTGATTTCCCGCTGCAGCCTGGCGATGGGTGTGGAGCTGTCCAAGAAAAGGGAGGAGGCAGCTGTGGGAAAGTCCAGGTCCTGGAACAAAGCTGCACCTTCACAGTCCTCCTTCATGGCTCCTGTGGGTCTGCTGGCTTTGCAAGTGCGCCTCTAACATCTAGATTACATCTATCCAGAGAAGAGTGGCAGCATGGGTTGAATTATTACTTTATTTCTATGAAAGTATTCAAAATGAATCATCGGCGGCTTCATGCAGGTGTTCACTCACAGTAAATAAGATAATTCAATTTGACCAAAACGCTTCAGTTTTAGTGCATTTTATCTCGCTCTCATTATTATATTTATAAAAATAAAAAAAACAGTAATAATATTTGTATGCAGATATAGGCGGCAAACAGTCTCAAAGGCTGGTTAATACATTTATTTCATAGATTTTTCTCTATCTTACCGCTCTGGTCTTCTCTGCATCTCTCCCTCTGCAGCTGTCATCCTCAACAACAACGGAGCTAGCTCAGTTAGCTTCAGTTAGCTTGTGCTATGTTCATGGGTGCTCTGACATTCCCATATCTCTTTATCTTATCGCGGTTTTACATCTATAGCCGCAAGGATGTCTTACCACAATGACAACTTTCATTTATATTTGTACCAGAGTTCACCTCTCTGCTATAAAATGCACCCTCAGAATGGAACTGTAGCTAACTATTAATGCAGGTGAATCCTTCCTGTGCTGCTGTTTGCCACTGCCGCCCACTGTCCGGGACCCTATATTACAATGTCCCCTGAACGCATCTAGGGTTCACGTTAACACCAGCAATGAAAATGTGGATGTACTTGTTTTTAACGTTAGTTTATTTATTTATTTATTTATTTTAAGAAATAGGAGAATAAAATAAACGTCATAACTGTTGTATAATTTTTTTAGAAGAAATAGTAGAATAAAATAAACATATCTGTTTACTTTTTTTTAAGAAATAGGAGAATACATTAAACATCATCACTGTTGTATCAGTAGCTCTTTTTTAGTATAGGTTAAAGGAGATTTTGTTCTTATTCTATTTTAATTTACAAATAAAATTATAATTTACAAATAAAAACATTTGCCACAGTTTTGGGCTTGTACAATCATATACAGCAAATCCATTTGCTTTGATCTAACTAGGGCTATGACTAATAACCACGTGGTGGATCGATTTATTTGGCGACCTTTTTTTTATTAAACAACAGATAATAGAAGAGGTTGCCTTATATGATATGTTTCACAAGCCTAAGCTAAACTTAGGTTCTGAATAGAGCATAGTGAGAAATATATATGACAGACAGACAGACAAGTTTGTTTGTTTGTTTCCACTACCATGCCGTATTTAGTTCAATCCGTTTTAAAATTGACTCAGCTTTTGTATCAGTGCTGCAGAACAGATTTGCATTAACATGATGCAGTCACTGAAATGTTTCACTGTGGTGTCAGAGTATCGTATCTAGAGCAAAGTTTCAATTCGGTCTGATCTCACAAGAATTTCTTCAGTGTTTGCAATGAAAATTCTCATGGCTTTTTTTCAACAAAGACAACAATTAAATCCAGGTCTGTAGATTTCTCACATAAAATATTAAGTCGAATTTCTTTAACATAATGAATAAAGGTGATTCTTACTGAATGTTTTTTTTTTTTTTTTGGGGGGGGGGGGGGGGGGGGGGGGGAATACTAGTAGAGCTGCATTAATTCCCTTTAGATTTAATGTGGTCTAAAAGGATCTACAGTACCTAAAAATATGAACATTAAAGCCAGCCCATTAAATGAATACATCAATAGACTGAAACATTTAGGAAAATATCAGATTTATTGAAAATAAGTGAGTACAAAAGGGAAAAGAAATATATAGTTATATAAATGCAGTTAAAAACATATATATGTGCGATGGTTATAGTAATATGTTAAAGCATATTTTCTCAGAAGAACCGTCATAGAAGTGAAGGTGTTCAGCTTCGTTTGCTAAAAAAAAAAGAAAAAGAGAAAGCAATATTAAATATTTAAATCAAACATTAAATCTTGAATTAATGGTGATTCTGGTCTACTAAGAAATGTCGAGCCAAGATAACGGCTTACTTCAGATACTCGATGGCTCTGCGGACCCATGGCATATCAGGATTGGCACAGACAAGTTTGTTTTTCACAGTGAGGAAACTGAAATCAGAAAAATGGAGAAGTTTTGAGCATGCAATCACATTCGTAATACCCATTATGTATGTCGTGTTGAAAAACCTTTAACTTACATTGTTGAATTGATGTTGCAGTTGCCTGTGTCGAATTGCATCCAATAGGCTTTCAGGTTCTGTAATCTTATTGGATTGTTAAAATTTTTTGTGCAACAAGGTCCCTGGAAACCTTTGTAAAGAGAGAAAAAAAAACATTGACATGTTAGAGAAAATTTTTGTTTTTCATGTTTCACACTTTGATGCCTCAAAAGTAATATAATACCATAAAGTTAAAATATAATATCTCTATAAAGCTAAAATACTCAGAATTAAGGCTCCTTTAAAATCCCACTTACTGGTTTCGCTGAGAGCTATGAGCAGCAGCAGTGCAAAGACACACACAGTAAGCTTTGCCATCTTCCTCGGTGGTAAATCAGAGAGCTGGTATGGATTGAAAGATGGGATTTAGAGATATGATCTACCTCTGGCTGTGAAGTTTAAATAGGCTGTGACACGGAAGGAAGCCGTCCAACCACTCACCAAGAATGAGTTGGAAAAAACTAGGCTGTGATGTATTTAGGTCAGGTGGGAAGTGTGACGTTCCGTGTACTTTTTACCAACAAATCCCCCCAGTACAGGGCTCCAATGTGTGATATCATGCTATGTCAAGAAAAAAAGGCTATTAGAAATTCTAACATTTTTATGAAGTATTCTTTTTACGTCTTCCTCATAGGAAATTACTCAACGTAAATAGTGCAATCCCACTAGTCAATGATTAAAATGTAAACAAAGGTAGTTTCAGCTACACACTTTATGACAACTATATAGGACAAAGTGTTTCATTTGTCATGCATGAAATTAGCTATTAGTGTGATATATATAGAATGACATACTTCAGGTGGGGTTTAAACCATAATTACAATGATTCACTCTGCAAAAGCTTACTCAAAAGTTAACTTTCTAGCAAATATTGTGACTGTATTACAGTAGTTAAATAACATTTCTAATGCAATATTTTGTTTATCTTTGCTTCAAGAACTGATAAATAGATTTATCTGAAGCCTTATGAGAGGTTGCATAATCATTTACCCGCAATTTACAAGAGAAAGAACACAAGAAAACGTACTGCAACCCCAAACCTCATCCTGACCTTATTGTTGTAGCATTATGTTGCAATGTTTGACAGCCATTTTGTTTCTTCATAACCTCATTTATTGTCCTTTATACTCATTACTGTATTTTGCTGACTAGTTTTATAAAGTTTCTAAATCTCACAGACTGAATAAATGTCAGCTTATTGGGTTAAATCATTGCAATGCAGTATTGAAAGGGTCGCTTCATTCCAGGTAAAGATTCAAATGTTGGTTAAACCAGATTTTGAAGGCCGGCCAGTCATGTACTGGACAGGAAAGTGTTTCTATAAGATTGCAATCAATCAACATGTAGAAGCAAGTGTTCTCAGTCAGTAGCTCTATGACGTCAGTAAGATGCATTAGTTAGAATGACTGATCCTTTGTGTGAATTGTCTGAGGTTGTCCTTCAGTTCCATTTGTCTAATTAATCAAGCTGTATTTGTTTGATCTTTGTTTTGTTATTGTTAGAGTGAAACCAGGAAGCAAAATTCCACTGCCATGTTTTAATTCCTTGTGAGAGGATTTAAAGTTCCTATTAAAAAAGCCCGGCCTAAATTACACAATCATTGTTGCCCTAAAAGTAGATGTGACAGTCTTGTCTGTTGTTTAGTTAGCAAAAGGTTTAACTGAAGTATTATGCAGGCACACGCTCTAATCTGAGGTATGAAAAGATCGAAAAGATCAAACATTTGTCAGAGCAAGTACTGTGTGGTAGATCTATATCAGTAAAGGGAAGTCAGGCTTTGAGATTCTCTGGATCCTCTTTGTTGAAAGACAAAGTTACAAAATGATAGGGTTCTAAAATGAATTTAACTTAACCTAAATTTCATGTGATAAGTGCAAGTTTCAATTAGCCCTTTTATCTTTTAATTCTGACTTACACAAGCAAAGTATAATATAAAAAGATACTGGATTGGGGCTCTTTTTTAAAATACCATCCAAATCATTCTTCATATTAGTCCTTTTAAGATCTGATCTAAATAAAAACTATGTTAATAAACTATTTTTGGTACCCTCTTAACTGTTTGATTAAATGTTTTTTATGAATGTTACGTAATAAACTGAACATCACAAAAACATCCATGGGGTATAAGAACCACTCACTATGTCAAATATATATATTTGTTTGCTGTGAAGCAACAATGCAAACTGTTACTATAAATAAATAGACATTTAAACAGTTTATATAACATAATGCGCCTCTAATTACATGAGAATGTATGCGTAGGAAAGTTCAAGTACCTAAATGACTCCTGTGGTTTTGACGGAAATTTAGTTACACGAGATTTTAGGCTATTGTGACCTATTTCACTGCACTAAATGCACTCTTGCCTTTGATGCATGGGTCTTGAGTATAAGCTTAAGTGTTCCTCTGACCTAGAAAAGAACCTGTGTGGAACCCCACTGTAACCCACATGAACGACCCACATAAAGCAGATGCACGGAGGTCCTCTCAGTGTTTTATCTTCCTTGAACTTTTTCCACTAACTCTATATGTCAGGTATTAGGTCTTCTTTTCATTAGCCATGATACTTCTGTTTTAAATGGAAGCATAGGGTATTCTCATGCTAGGCTGATGGAAACACCAAGCACACACACCCATAGCTATTTTAAGTAAGTGCTGACTCGTAGCTAGTTTTTTTTTTCCTTCAGTTTTTTTGTTAATAAAATACTAATTAAATCACACACCTTTCCGGCTGATTACTCAGACTGGATCCCATATTAGAGTACCTGCTTATTACGACACTTGTAACTGCCGGAAGACTCTGTGTCTGTGAGGATGGTTAAGATACAGAAGTAAGTGTCAGTATTCTGACGTATTTCTTTCACCCTTTTCAAATAAGGTTTTAACATCACAATTTATTTTTTATTAAAATAAAACTACAATAAAAAAGTAGATGAGAGATGAAATGTGACTTGATGCGTGATTTAACATTCCACCTTTTATCTGCCCACATTCATGTGACACCTTTAGTGCTCAACTGTATTATAACAGACTTCAGCTTTCTTATTTGATCAAATCTTGTTTTTGTTTTGTTTTTTTCTCACTTTTTTAAACTTATTTCTGTTTTTATAAAGTTGTTTGGTTTGAAGAAGGATCCTTTCATTTTCTGTGTGTAACTACTAGTGACCACACCAACCAAGCCCAAGGAGTACCAAGACATTTAGAGGCCGAGACCAAGACCATATAGGTATTGGTGGTGGTCTTGGTCTCCGTACCCCTTGGTCTTGGTTGGTGTGGTCTTGACTATATGCTAGTAAGTACTTTATTAGTTAGTTTACCATCACTGGAGCAAATAACGTTATGCAGTGAAATAAAAACATTAATCAAGCTAGAAACAACAATCTTATGAAAAATTCCAGTGACTTTTATGAATAGAAGAAAATAATATTGGCAACTATTCTCTACTAAGAAGCAGAACTAATAAGAACTCCTCATTTCTTTTTAGAGCTGATGCTCTGTTCACCACCTGTGTCCAGTGGTCCAGATTGTTGTGAACGTTTAAGAAAATGTTAGCAGTGTGGAAGGATAGTCTTCTCTAACTTGAAGCTTGTACAATTTCAAAGTCTGATAACCTGTCTTTTGAAAAGTATAATTTTTCATTTATTTTCATTTAAATCTTCTGCCATGAAAAGCGTTCCTGCATTTTAAGAAAATACCAATTAACATCATCCTAGCTCTGCAGTACAGGGCTGGCAGCTTCATGTTTTAGGGTGTTTTATTTGCCCCTTTACATAAGCAGAGGTGTCAAGTAACGAAGTACAAATAGTTCGTTCCTGTACTTAAGTGCACTTTTTAGGTATCTATACTTTACTCCATTACTTATTATTCTTCCTTCTTCTGTCTTCTACTCATTACATTTTCACACAAGAATCTGTACTTTCTATTTCTTACATTTTTAAAACAAATGTTACTCATTACTCTTGGCTTCGGTTTAATATTTATAAATATTTATTTAATGTCATGTGTGCCATCCACATTTGGTGAAAACTAGTGTAATGACTAGTGAGAACGTATCGGGAGATGGAGAAAAGAGACCAACAAGAGGCCAATTTAGCCCTATCTGAATATTTCAAAATAGTCGAAATTTGAGCTTTCAATTCATATACTGGCATCTGGCTGTTTTTTTTAAAGGATACTTTATACTTTTATAGTTTAAGTAGTTTTTGGAGCACATACTTTTTTACTTTTACTTGAGTAAAGAGGTCAAGTTGATACTTCAACTTTTACCAGTGTTTTTAAACTGCAGTATCTATACTTCTACTTATGTAACAGAAGTGCATACTTTTGACACCACTGCACAAAGGAGGAATGAACATCATATGAAGTTCTAAAATGACACCTGAAATAAACCTGGTATTTAAAGCTCTGTCATAAATGGGTCGTCTAGATGGACAATGACGCTAAACATACTTTTCAAATAGTAACAAAGTTGCTGACTGTAGCAATACAAACACCTTTGAGGCACCATTTTCAGCAGCCATTTCCGAGCTCTGAGCTCGGGCCCATCTTTTGTAGATAGACCGTCACAAATTTGTGCAAATGAAGGGACTTAGGTACCCTGGTTCAGTTAGGACTAATACATCCAGTAAACCCTTTTGAAAAGCTGCCGGAAGGATGCTAAAAATGTTTATGCTCACCATATAAGACAACTCTACCAAGCAATGAGGAAATGTAAACCTGTGCAATTGAAAAAAGAAAAAAAAAAACAGTTGTTTTCAGTTATTTTTACTCATAAAGTAATAGTTTAGTCTGATTCAGTGTCAAAAAGGGTGATAAGAGTCAAAAAAGGTTCTGATTTTGTCATTTGAAAAATATAAAACAGCTTTTTAAAATCTCGTATAAAACAGTTACACAAATGGAAAAGAAAAGATTTTTAATTTTCCTCTATTGCGTGTTTGGGTGGGTAGAGAAACCATACTTTTTGTTCTAAATTAAAACAGAATTCCTAAAAAGGCAGTCAGATACTTTTAAAGCTCTAGTATTCACAGCTTAAAAACTACAAATAGAACAGAAAGAAAACTTGAAAGATAATCATCATTTACATATGAAATAAAATAAATGGGAAGATTACAGATAAGCATATTGAAAAAAATATGCGTTATATATATTTTTATCTATTTTATTATATTTATTCATTTGAGCAATTAGTCTTAAATATATAAATAAACATAAAAGTATTTCATATATAATTGCATTTGATGATTCCTGGAGAACCAATGGAAAATATGAAGCATTTCATGTGTGGAAGAAGTGGAATCACATGAATGGAACATTCATATCAATTTGTGGGAGTATTGCAACTTTTTGCAGCTGATTTGTATAGACTTTAATAATATTTACTTTAAAAAAAGAAGTACTTTCACTTGTTTCTTTTTTTTTGATAGCATCTGTAAACAAAAGCAG